TATATATATATACATATACATATACACACACACACACACACACACACATACCTGTAGGTTTATTTATACATACTGAGAACTAATTCACATTAAAAAAAAATTGTAAGAAATAAAACTGAAATAAAATATACAATGAAAAACTTACAAAAACGTACACAAAAATTAGAAATGCTGCCATGGCCATTAAAAGAAAGTTTAAGTACTACAATTACTAAAACTAAAACTGAAATAAATAATAACAAACAAACTAATTAAAAACTATCTAATACACATGACAAGAATACATTACAAAATTACTAAAACTAAAATTAAAATCTAAAGCGAAAATAAAGCTAATTCAAAATATTAACAAATACTATAATAGAATATACATAATGATTCAAACACTAGTAATTGGCCCACACACAGACCTCACATCTTTCCCCTACAGATGCAGTGATGTACTCTTTCTTGTCACCCTCTTCTTCATTTTGCTGCTCTTTTTCAGGCTGTTCTGATGCTTCCTGGTCCTCCGTTCCGTTCTCCTCAGAGAGTCGAACCACAACTCGATCTTTCTCACCCGGGACCAGGATCCGGACACCCCTCTGAGCCAGCTGCTCCCTGGCAAACTCCGTGATCACCGCACATCTGATCAAAGAAGGTATATGGGAAGTTTAATGGCAAGATTAGAAAACAAATCATCACGAGACGTCACACTGGATGGCGTACTCACGTTAAATCTCGGTTGAACTCCTGCACAGGGTTGTAGAACACCTCATTAGCACTTGGGAATAAAATGGCAGCCTTTCCCTCCCTGACAACGGTCTCCCCTGGTAAAAGCCCAGGTTCTGTAGACCAGGTCTGACCGCTTTCTGTAGAGCTGGAGGGATTTGTGTCTTCCATTGGTACTGCTGTGGTAGCACTGTCTGCACCTGCACTGGTGGTGTCCTGGGATTCTTCAGGTTCTTTCTTGCCGTCCATCCTGAATGTTTTAAAGACACTGTGTCCTGTAGTAAGGGTCTGAAGGAAGGATATTCTCTTCTTAGGAAATGCTAAAGACAAACCAGGACACCCAACGGATGCCTGAAGTATATTTCTTGCTAACATCTACCAAAAGACAGCCTTGTGACCTGTCAACACAAAACTGATTTTAGTTAAGAAGCGCTTACAATCTCTTACATGAGATATCAATTTAAAAACAAAAAACAAATACAAGGGTTCCCACACCTTTAGACACTGTTCATGTATATAACATTAAAATGTCCATCTGATTTTTTTGACGACTCATAAAAACTATATGACCTAATTCTAAATTTAAGATAAATGTCAACTTCACATACACAATGTAACTAGCCAGGCTAGCATTAAAATGTATCTCGCCTACCAACTTACCGCTGATTATCCTTCCTAAAAGATGCTTTAGTTAAGCCATAGCAAAACATTCACGAACAAAAACAAATCAGCTCGCAAAACGTACGCTAGCGCAGAGTCCTGTCAACTGTTAGCTTAATGTTTTCAGTGAAAATTCACGTGTAGCTCATGCCGTATGTCAACTACGGAAGCCTTGTAGCACTAAAACCCTGACAGAGACGCCAGGCACTGCGCATGCGCAACTGTAAAGGAGGGTAATTTAGAAAGGTTCTTTCAGTGGAGGTTTCTCTCTTTCTTTATAAATAATAATAATTAAAGAGGCTCACAGCAATACTGAATATTGGAATAACTTTTCCTCTTTTAAAAGTCGTTTTGGAAATATGCTAAACGTAAAAGTAAACAGTGTCAGCATATCATAACACATAATATTATCATTTTATTTTATATTGCTATTTTTATTATTGTTGACGTTACGGACTCTTGTTTTTTTTTAGTCTGTGTGCTTGTTTATGCTTTTGTAACATTGTATTAAAAAAAAAACGTTTGAAATTGAATGCCAGTAATTAGTGACCAGTAAATACACAATGAAGTAAAACAAGTGTAAATTTACCATTTAATAAACATACTAATTTCCAGTGTTGGGGGTAACGCATTACAAGTAACGCGAGTAACGTAATCAGATTACTTTTTTCAAGTAACTAGTAAAGTAACGCATTACTTTTTAATTTACAAGAGAATATCTGAGTTACTTTTTCAAATAAGTACAAGTTACTTTTTTCTCCCAATTTATTGACTGACAGCTCTCCTGTCCCCACGTTGAGAGAAATCAGATGTTATTGTAGTTCTAAAATAAATATGAATATGCATTAATTCATCTCACATATAAAAAAAAAACAGATTCAGTATTCCTCAAAATGGATAAAAATAATGCAACTCAGAATATGACGCAAACCTGCAATAATTAAATGTTAAACATCACAAATATCCTTTATGTATTTAATCCCATTCTATAAAGCAATGTCTTTGCTTCTGACCTTCGATGATCCAGTTCAACCGTACTAATAAGCAAAAATTATTCTAGACAAACATTTGTGTCTTTTTTATTGCTGAAGTGTGTATTGCTGAAATTTCTTCTTCTGCATTCTACTGTACATTTACTTTCCCTTCAGCCTGAGGCTTATCAATTTCACTTTTGGTGTGAAAAGGCTTTTATATTTGCCAAAAATAGAACTTTTTTTTATTTTAAAAACAAACAAGCAAGCCCTGTCCAGATTTCAAAAGTAACGTAACGCATTACTTTCCATAAAAAGTAACTAAGTAACGTAATTAGTTACTTTTTTAACGGAGTAACGCAATATTGTAATGCATTACTTTTAAAAGTAACTTTCCCCAACACTGCTAATTTCTCTAAATCGGGTATTATATTTTTGTCATTCACAGTCTTTTTAATTGAATTGTCATTATTATTATCAACACTGTAAAGTGGTTAATATAAATAAAATTAAATACAAATTCTGAGTTGGGAAATAAGTTTGTAGTAGTAGACCACAATATTATAACTGTTCTTTGATCTCTGATGCAGCCTTAAACTTTGCAGTTGTCAAGACAGATTGTATATTTAACTATTTTCTTAATTTAAATTTCTATATTCATAATTTGATATTTAATATTTAACATAAATTCCATAAATACGTTTCCTACGTAAAGTATGCCTTCTCTGTGCAGCATTATTGTCGTGGTATACATACCTCTACAGATGCTCCTTCTGTATAAATGGCACATTCGATCTAATAATCTAATCTAGTCACGCTCTATAAACACTATGCGCCATAAAATTTGACCCCATTAGAGCGACGTGATGGACATATTTTGGAGGCGTTTAGTGCAACAACTTCTCCAGTGCGCCATGCAGAGTTGAGTTGGCATGCTGTGCGCGTAGCACCCAGACCCCTCTAGGGCTTCACCTGAGTCTAGACGCTCCACACAGCTCACTTTGCCCGCACTGCCGCACGCTCAACCACGGCCGCCTCGCGCACTGCCACTGACTCAACGGAGAGCGCGCGGCGCGACTCGTACGCATCGGCGTTCAGACAGCTTTCTTTAATTCGGTCTGTGTGATCGGTGACTCTGTGCTCTAAACCGGGTGACAGAATGATACACCCCTCGATAATTCTGTGCTCGGGCGTCTTGCCTGTGCGTTCACGGTGAATGGCTGCCCGTAGAGAGAAATAGTCGGATTCCTCCATTGAAACACTTTCCAGCAGATCGCAAGCGAGGGGTGAGTATTTTAACGCATGCACGAGCGGTTAGCGCCACTTCAAATGGGGTCAGGGGGCAACCACGTGGGTTGAACAAGGGGGTCGCATTTAGTTATTGTTGTGGCACGGGGCAATTGAGAAAGATTTGGGGGTATTGTTTTGTGAAGGTGTGCGATTGCTTTAGATGGGGGGAGGGGGGAGGGGTTTGCAAAACTTTAACCACTTCAATGACTTGCTGCCGAGAGCTTGATTTATGTTGCATCAATGCGTCCATCTATATTTTCCAACTTTTTAGCCATGCATAACATCGCTTGCATTGTTAGCACGTGTTTCTGGACGATTTGAGGATTTATACTAGAGGAGGACATTAATGTGCATTGCTTTAGACGTCAAGTAGTAAATGGTGTCTTGTCTCGCGGATCAGCCTGACTCGCCCCCAGTCCCGGGATGACCTGTTGATGTCGGGAAAAGATGGTGTCGAGACCCCCTTCCTCTTCCTCCAAAATGGAGTAGAATTTAACCACAGAATATTTGATGTGAAATCCAATGATTGCGCCGCGTGCATACAAATGACTACTTCTTAATTTGCATGCGATTTGCAAGTATGCGGCTCTAGAACGATATTATAACAATGCATGCATATGGATGTTGCTGGGCGAAACGTTTTGGTTATAGATATCATGGTATGTGCAGGACTCTAGCTCAGCCCGACATTGCATATCATTACATTGGCACCGAGGGGGCGAGAGAAACGGATGTGCGCTCCTCAATAATTCATCTATCTGACTATTTTGGTGACAGGAATATTTGAGGGCTGAGCAGCTTTTAGCTCTTTGGTCGCCGCATCAAGTTTGGAAACCAGGCAATTGGGGAATTATTTCTCATTTTTCTGCCCCCCGGGGCCCGTGCCAACCCGGAGCTCGTGTCCAGCTGGGCAGCGGTGCGGGCGCACACACTCACCGGGTACCGCAGCCCTGCCGCGGCCGCACACATCACAGAAACACCGGCGCCCGACTTTAACGGTGAGATTGCAAACTATTGTTCATTTATTACCTTAATGTTTTTAAATGAAAACTGTTGTTATTATGCCATTCTGAAATAGTGCTGTGCGAGTGATACAAAGCAAACAGTCGGAATTAAAGTGAATTAAACGGCGTTTTAGCTGCATCCTGAAGCTGAAATCACATTATAGACAATCGAAAATACTAGTTTATTCTAAAGCCCTATTCGCACGGGATAAGTATTATCTCGGGACCTCGTGTGATTTAGAAATTATTAATATTATTTTAGACCAAGTTTATAATATTTTTTTATATGTTTCTTAAATGTGATTGCTATTGGCTAAAGGACTAGCTTTAACACTTTAAACTACGAGTGTGCAATCCGAAAACTAATTATTTCCAAAATGGCATATTTACTGCAGTTACTGTTAGTGCTGATAATAAATTCATATTCATATTACATTTTCTTTAAACAGCATAAGTATCTTTCTGACATGTACATTTTTAAGTGGAAGTGGTGGCTACTAGTTATTAGAGTTATTTTTATATATATATATATATATATATATGAGAAAATAGGTCAAATGAATACAATTTAAATAAATCCATTGTAACCTTTTGAGTTAAAATATAATTTTATAAAATAAAAAATATTCTATCTATCTATCTATCTATCTATCTATCTATCTCATAAAATGGTATTATAGGCCTATAGGTTAAAAGGAGTATAATTGTATAAACGGATGTTTCTTTGAAAACAAGTAGAGGTTTTGTAACTGAGCAAAACCTTGCTGCTCTGCCAGACGAATCTTTGATCTGCTTGCTTTAACCTCCTGACCGACCTTTGTACAAAGACACAAAGCAAGAAGTTGTGAAGAGTGAAATTACTCAGAACACCTTTAGTGGGGATTTTTGATTAAACTGTAAGGTACTTTTCAGTAGCTTTGTCTTATTACTCTATAAAAAGATCCTGTGATGATGAACACAGAACTTTTGGTTGTTAAGAATTGTTAAAACATTTTGTGAGGTACATTTATACAAGTTTTGAGTTAATCTATATTGCATTATACATTTAATGATTTAGCTGACACTTTTGTCCAAAGCGACTTAGAAATGAGGAATACAACAAGTGATTTATCATAAGGAGGCAATAACACGAGAAGTGCTGGCATTACGAAGTTTCGAACATTGTTCAGAAAAGTAGAAGTTAGATAAAGGAGGGACAGGAATAGTGAAAGCATAGAAAGTGAAGCAGGACGCAGGTTAAGTGCTCATTAGCAGAAGGATTGAACACAAGTAAACAATGCGTATGAAGTAACTGCACTTAAGTTTGAGTGTTGTTGGTCACACAGAGTACATACAGATATGATTTTATATAAAGTGCAACCAGAAACCTCAAAATCTCAAACAGAGGTTGGATAGCATAATACAGGATGACATAGTCCTAATTGGCTGATATATGACCCCTAGATAGTCATTGCATCAGGGATCTGCTCTAATTTTCTGTTAAAGAATATTTATTGAACCACTTCCTGTGTGCCATCTGTTCATCTTTTGCTTCTATAAAGGATTTTGTTTGTTGGAAAGTACGTGTTGACCTTTGAGAGTATTTGTATGATCCTAAAAAGAATAGACTAGTATTATAAATTGTTTATGACCCATAGATCTTCGGTTATATTAAGAATGTGTATCAACATGTATTGCTTTTGTTCATTGTCTAATTTCTTGGGGACAATGTATGCATTTTCTGTTTCTATGTTATGGACTTGACACTCGTGGGATGTTGTTTATGAGACTGCATGCACTGACCTTGGAGTTAGACAGTTAGAACAGCGAGAACCACTATGTCCCCATGGTTTCATAAGAATAGATGATGATAAACTGCAAGTGTGTGTGTGGTGATTCCAGAAATCTTTAAAGCTTTATTTAAGAGTCACATTGTTAATTTAGGTAAGACCATTTTTGTGAATCTTTTTTTCACTACAGAAATGTTTCTGCGCTAATATTCAAAATTGACTGTAAAGGCATTTATAATGTTACAATTTACATATTTTTATTTCAAATAAATGCTGTTGTTCTTTTGAACTTTATATTCATAAAATTATCATGAAAAAATGTACAAATGTTTTAAGCATAGATAATATGAAGAATTATCTTTAAAAAAAACTGTGGAGTAATGGCTGCTGAAAATTCAGCTTTGCAACCACAGAAATCAATTATATGCTTTAAATATATTAAAATAAAAAAGTTATTTTAAACAAACAGTATTAGTGCTTTTACTGTATTTTCAGTCAAATCAATACAGTCTTGATGAACATTAGAGACGTAACACTAAAAACACTAAAAAATCTAACCAAACCCATACTTTTGAACGGTAGATGTGTATCTACGCATACCATTTTTGTGTCCTATAAAGTCATTTTGTGGAAACTTTTTTTGATTATTTTGAAAATGGAACTTAATATTTTTAGCCCATTGTTTTCTTAAAAACAATGTTTAATTATGGTTATTAATGTATGAATATACCTGTCCTCATATTCCATTGGTAAGCATTTAAGGAATCTGCACATTTTTTCAAATTTTCCTCGCTGTTGGAATTTTGGTGGGAAAATTGATTGAATTCTGCAAAATAAACACCCGATGGGTGGGACTATGTAGGATTTTGAATGACAAGTTGAATTTTGTGGAAATCTGAAGATATTTTTGCACCCATCTGTAGGTGTGGATTCTGTACAGGCCCTGCCCATTTGTCATTATTATAAGAACTCTAGAACTAAGGTGAAAAATTCTAAATTATTATACCAGAGTGTTTTGTGTTTTCTTTTTCCACAGACTCTGTAGTACTGGGCTTTACGATATGGCTCAGATGCTGCAGATGGCGATTCCCAACTTTGGCAACAATGTCTTGGAGTGTCTTAATGAGCAGAGACTTCAGGGACTGTACTGTGATGTGTCAGTGGTGGTGAAGGGTCACGCATTTAAAGCCCACCGGGCAGTGCTGGCTGCCAGCAGCTCCTACTTTCGAGATTTGTTCAACTCTGGAAGTAAGAGCTCTGTCGTGGAGTTACCACCAGCGGTCCAGCCTCAGAGCTTCCAGCAGATCCTTTCCTTCTGTTACACTGGCCGACTTAGCATGAACTTGGGCGATCAGTTTCTCTTAATGTACACAGCAGGATTCCTGCAGATTCAGCAGATTATGGAAAAAGGCACAGAGTTCTTCCTAAAGGTCAGCTCACCAAGTTGTGACTCACAGGGTCTTCACACAGAAGAAACACCACCCTCAGAACCCCAGAGCCCCGTTACTCAAACTGGGAGTGGTACAGTAGGAGGGTGTGCGGTTGCAACGGCTCGACCTGCTTCCTGCCTAACGCCCCTTCCTTTGGTGTCAAGGGTGAAGACAGAGCAGCAACCTCAAGCCCAGCAGTCCCAACAAGAAGCATCATCATATTCAGTGGTTTGCACTCCAGTTGCTAAGCGTCTTTGGGAGGGAGGTAGCCGTGAAGGAGGTGGAGGATCAGGAGGAGGGGGAGGTATGAGGAAAGCAGCCCGCTATTCACAGGAAGTGGCACGGGGCACGGGAGGGGCACCGCCTCAAAGTGCAGCCTTATTGGGTGGAAGCGGTAATAGCAACAACAACAACAATAACAACAACAGCAGTAACATGCCAGAAGGCACCAGCCCAGGCACCCCCAGCATGTACACCAGTGACTCGCCAATCTCTTACCACGATGATGATGAAGAAGAGGAAATCACAGATGAAACAACTGAAGAACAGTACAGACAGATCTGTAATATGTACACTATGTACAGCATGTTGAATGTAGGGGCAACAGGTAAGAATAGTTGAACTAAAATTAATTTCATTGATAGGTTGCTGATACTTATCAAGTAAATTTATTAACTGACACTTCTGAACACCACATTGTGATAAGAGACTTTACTATGTTGTAAAATTGTGGGAAATAAATTGGGCCAAGTATCGAGCCCTGAGGAACTCCATCAATAGGATTATTGAAAAGTAATCATACAGACAACAAACCAAACAAAGCTCATTTGCTTTGCTTTGTAGACCTTTTTTAAACATATTTTTAAAATATAGTTTTATTGTTATTAAGAAAAGTCAGAATTACTTATATACTCTAAACAATAGGTTAAACTTAGGTTTAAACAATAGGTTATAATTGTTTCATCATTGCTCCTCCATTCACTTTCCCCCCCAAAAAATTAATTCAAAGCAAAATATATAAGTTTGTTTATTTAAAATGTATTTAGTTTATGTAATTTTTAAAAATATATTTGTTTATCTTTTTAGCTATTTATCTGCAGATTTATAGGCCGTTTAGGGTCAATATATGTTTTTTTATTTTAAAATATTTCTCTCCCTTTGTAATTCTGGTTCAGCCAGCGAACGAGTGGAGTCACTACCAGACCACCTCACAGTTGAATCAAGGGGAAGAGGAGTTCGAGTGAGGCAAGATCTGGCCTCTCTTCCCACTGAGCTCATTGCGCAGATCGGAAACCGCTGTCATTCTAAACTCTATGAAGAAGGTGACCCTGCTGAGAAACTGGAGCTAGTAACAGGCACCAGTGTTTTTATTTCACGTGCTCAGCTGATGAACTGCCACGTTAGTGCAGGCACACGCCACAAAGTGTTGCTCAGGCGGCTCCTTGCTGCCTTTTTTGACCGGTGAGTGAAGTTTTTGACCTTTATTCAGCAGGAAAAAAAATAAACTGTAATTAGTATTTAAAGGAATTGTTCACACACACACAAAAAATTGTCATGATTTACCCACCCTTATGACTTCCTTTTGCCACAATGGAGATATTTAGCATAATGTCAAAGTTGCTCTTTTCCATACAGTGAAAGTTAATTGTCATACAGGTTTGGAATGATATGAGGGTGACTAAATGATTCCAAAATGTTCATTTTTTGAGTGAACTAGCTCTTTAAAAGTAAAAATGTAAAATTAAGTTATTAATGGAAAATCGACCGATTATTTTAGGGTTTTAAAAAGTTACTTTTTTTAAGACCACAAAACAGTCCACAAAAAACTTGGTTTGCTGAACAGTTTTCTTGGTTTTGAATCCCAGTTGCTCTTGGAAATTACAGGCCAGATTTGTATGTGTTTCTTTTAAAGTGTATCATCCTTCTTTATTTTTCCTGTAGAAGCACCCTTGCAAACAGCTGTGGGACAGGCATTCGGTCCTCCACAAATGACCCCAACCGCAAGCCACTCGACAGTCGGATTCTCCATGCTGTTAAGTGTAAGTTGTGGTAAAAGCAGTTTTATCTACTTTAAGTTTTCAAGCATCATTCAAAATAGCTATGTGTAAAAAGTGCATGATAAACTAAACTAACTTCTTTTTTTGTTCTCTTTATCTCTAGTTTACTGCCAGAATTTTGCTCCTAGTTTCAAAGAGAGCGAAATGAACGCGATCGCTGCAGACATGTGCACTAATGCACGCCGCGTAGTACGCAAGAGCTGGATTCCGAAACTGAAGATCCTGATGGCAGAAAGTGACGCTTATGCCAACTTTCTTCCGGACGCTTCCAAATTGGAGTCTGATGGCTTGGCTGTGGAGCATGCTTTTGAAACAGGATCCCTAGAAGGTGGTACAGCCTCTGAATCTGGCCAGTCATCTGCAGATGCCCTGCAAGGTGTGAGCGGGGAGGGTAACAGCTTGTTTTAGTGAGTAACACTACCATAGTTCAGCTATTCATTCCTCTTCCACTCCTCCATTGCATCCCAGTCTCACCTTGGGCGTTGATGTCATTTGGGAGCAGTGAAGTGTATCTTTATGAAGACTTTATGTTGTTGAATCTCACTTCAGAAACTGGTACTTTTTATTTCCTTGTAGATTTTATTTCCTTGAGGCCCTCCTTGTCAAACTGCAGAAACACATTCCCGAAGAGGAGGGTACTATAGGTATATTTGGGATGAGCGGAAGTGGAAATGGTGTCTGGAAGCTCCTATCCAGTCTGAAAACACTGTCATGATTCTGAATATCTTTTTGGAGAATCCAGAAAGTTAATGTTGCTGGACATAAGATTGTATTCATCTGTTAATATTTAGTGGCTGTGTACCTGCTTTCTGGACCCCATTTCCTCTTTCTGCACCCTGAGACACCTTTACTTTTTTTCTTTTAAATTACATTTTCTTTTTATCTGAACAACATTTGTAATTTTTTTTTCTTTTTGCCAGCTATTCAACTTTTTGTCTTGCCAAGTATCCCAAGAGAGGCAATGTGTCATTTATGAATGTAATGAATTTGTAAGAGGCAATCTGTTTATCTGAAACTACTGTTGAGTTTTGATAGAGAGAGTCTGTGCAAGATTCTCACCTTTTGATCAACGAATAGTGAATTGTTGTCCACATGTTTTTGCATTATTTTAATCATTTTATTTTGGTATATTACCAAGGCTTGATATTGTTACTTTGGTTTATTTTAATCAAATCGTCACGAGTTTTTACTGTCAAATATCTCCAAAGCAAATCCCAAAACACTCCCACAAATTTAAAAATCATTAAGGCCTTTTAAATTTGTCTTTCTGTTCTTAGTAGTTTTGCACAACACATGACGTAGGACTGGCATCTGTGTGTTGTGTAAATGAGTGTGTATGGAGGCTGTAGTATTTGATGTGCTGTATCTCACAGTTGACTGCTTCATGCACCGATCGCACAAGCGTGGTGCATGCTGCCGCGTGATGCATTCTGACATACTACGCCTCAGCGCCTCTGACAGAGATGCACTAAATGCTCTGATGAGTGCAGTATTAGAGATTGGCACTGAACAGGCATCAGTGCCCTAGCTATGGTGGTTCTAAACTACTAAAGACCACTCTGAGAGTGGAAGCTGTTTTTTTTTTTTTTTATGCGGATTTGAAAAGTCCATTTTTAATTGTCTCTTGATGGCTTTCGGGTTTTAGAAAGAGTAGTTCTTGAAGTCTGTAATGCTAATGAAGAGCTGTTGTAACCACAGGTTTGGAGATGAAAGTGACCATGCCATTTAAAGTGTAGTTGCACTCTTAAAATATTTAAGGATGTGTTCAAATTAGATTTCCAAAGCATGACCTGCATCTTCAGGTGTTTTAAGCACACTTATGTCATGAAATGTGGACTGTATTGTTTGAATTTTTGATTATGGCTGAAGAAAGGCTATGATTGGACAAGATAATCTCAGTCCAAAAGAGTAAAATAAGTTTTAACCTAAAAACTAAATTATTTACACACAACCTTGTTATTTGTGCATTTTAAAGGGGTGGTTCAGTGGTTTTATTCTAGGCTTGATTGTGTTTATGGGGTGCAGTCTAACATGTGTTAATGCTTCGTTTTTTAAAAAACGCATTATTTTTTCACATAATTTCACATTATTTGTTACCTTTATTCCACACTGCTCTGTCCCTTCTCTGAGAAATGCGCTGATCAATTTTCTGCTTTTATGAAGCCCCTCCCTCAGAAATAGGCGATGGGCTCTGATTGGTTAGCTAGCCCAGTGTGTTGTGATTGGCTAAACCACGTCTAGTGCGCGTCTAAACATCCCGCCCCTCTCCTCAACGGCATGTGCTCTGGTTGTATTGTAAACAACGGCCTCCTTAATATCGTCGTTAATATCTGATAATATAATATCAGTTTGAGCCCGATTGAGAAGCAGAGGATATTATTGAAGAGGATCGTGCAGAACCTGTGCAAGCACGGCTTTTAATGGTAGGCCTATGTTTTTTGTTTGTTGTTGTCTCATACTTTTAGATATGCTGTTATTTGTAAATGCTACTGCTTATGTTAGCTTTTAATATCCTGATTAAAGCTTTAATACAGAACGGCAACTGTACGCGGGTCCATGTTTAAGGCTTCTCATAGCTATGTGAAAATAAGTGTATAATTGTAACGGTTAATTGCTGGAGCTGTGGAAGTTAGTGGGTAAGCACTATCACTTGCTGAATGAGAGCGAGAGAGATGCAGAGCGTGTGCAGAGTAGGGGAACGCGAGGGACAGTATTAAGAACTGCTGCTTTAGAACATTGATTTTGAAACTCGTGAATCCATTAGAATTGTTAGAAGACGGAATCACGATTCATATATGAATAGATTTTTACGTGCACCTCTAGTTTTCTCTTCCTCTTCTCTAAAGCAGCGCAGCATGGCCTCGACCCCTTTGCTGCCTTTTCCCGAGGGCGGGGTTTATCTGGGTTTGTGATGTCACGACCCCGGTAAGTAACTTGTTGTAGTCCCTACCAGCCGTTTTTGTAGGCATTAAACTGCCAGAATTTTAAAAGACGATATCTCCGTTTGCATTGAACTTTCAGCTTCGTAACTTAGCAGATATTGTTTATGCTCAAACAGCAACATTACACACTAACTAACATTAAAAAAAGTGAAATTGCAATCAACCACCCCTTTAAAATGTTTAAATTTTTTTAACCTCTTCTTTTAAAAGGATAATTCAACCAAAAATGAAAATTGTCATCATCTACTCACCCATCCATTCCATCCAAACCTGTATGACTTTCTTTATTTTGTGAAACACAAAAGAAGATATTTTGAAGATGTTGGTATCAAGCGAGTTTGATGTTTTGAAGAATGTATTCTATTGTATGGACCAAAAAAAAAAGAAAAAGATATTGCTCAAAATATATAATACATAATTAAATAAAGATATATTATTATACTATAATCATAAAAACATGAAATACTGTTTTGGGTGAACTATCAATTTAAAACAAAAATACAAATTTTAAACCCTTTTAGTTAGACATTTCATAGGGGTGAAAAAAAGAACAAAAAAGGCAAGTTTTTTTAAAAAGATGGCAGCTTAAGTCTGTCAGTACTTAGTGGGTAAGCACTATCACTTGCTGAATGAGAGCGAGAGAGATGCAGAGCGTGTGCAGAGTAGGGGAACGCGAGGGACAGTATTAAGAACTGCTGCTTTAGAACATTGATTTTGAAACTTGTGAATCCATTAGAATTGTTAGAAGACGGAATCACGATTCATATATGAATAGATTTTTACGTGCACCTCTAGTTTTCTCTTCCTCTTCTCTAAAGCAGCGCAGCATGGCCTCGACCCCTTTGCTGCCTTTTCCCGAGGGCGGGGTTTATCTGGGTTTGTGATGTCACGAACCCGGTAAGTAACTTGTTGTAGTCCCTACCAGCCGTTTTTGTAGGCATTAAACTGCCAGAATTTTAAAAGACGATATCTCCGTTTGCATTGAACTTTCAGCTTCGTAACTTAGCAGATATTGTTTATGATCAAACAGCAACATTACACACTTACTAACATTAAAAAAAGTGAAATTGCAATCAACCACCCCTTTAAAATGTTTAAATTTTTTTAACCTCTTCTTTTAAAAGGATAATTCACCCAAAAATGAAAATTGTCATCATCTACTCACCCATCCATTCCATCCAAACCTGTATGACTTTCTTTATTTTGTGAAACACAAAAGAAGATATTTTGAAGATGTTGGTATCAAACGAGTTTGATGTTTTGAAGAATGTATTCTATTGTATGGACCAAAAAAAAAAGAAAAAGATATTGCTCAAAATATATAATACATAATTAAATAAAGATATATTATTATACTATAATCATAAAAACATGAAATACTGTTTTGGGTGAACTATCAATTTAAAACAAAAATACAAATTTTAAACCCTTTTAGTTAGACATTTCATAGGGGTGAAAAAAAGAACAAAAAAGGCAAGTTTTTTTAAAAAGATGGCAGCTTAAGTCTGTCAGTACACTGCACTGGGCCAGACTTTTACCTCTCATCCACGTGGTACGATCCTAAGAGACTGCACCAAGTCTTAATCATAGTTACGATAGGATGAGCATGAGATATTTGCACAGAAATCTGAACTGGATTGTTCAGCACTGCCTTAAAGAGTGGAAGTTCCTGCCTGGGAGTCTTACACAGCCAGTCTGTGACAGAAAAGTGAAAGAATTTGTGGGAAGGGGAGGGCACTGAATGCCTGGATGATCCTGTATGTATGCGTGCTGGTGTGCTCCACTACTTTTTCCTCAGAGTTTGAGCCTCTTTTTTTAATTTCCATTTTTAGAGACACGCATGCTAATGTCTGTGCATTCATGTGAGGAGGCTGACAGGAAACCAACCGTGAGTGTGTGCCAGAGGCATGCTTTTTATATGTGTGCGTTTGTTTATGTGTACGTGCTCAAATGTAAGTCTGGTTTTTGTGTGCCAAATGCACGTCTGAGAGACGGTGCGTGTGTGGTGTTGGTGTATGACTGGAATATGTGCATTGTGTGTGCGTATGCAGAGATCAGAGAGCTCTGTTTGTTTTTGTCTGACTCAGAGAGGGAGACATACAGCGCAGACGCAAGCAGAGAGGGGAGGGATTGGTATTGGTGAGGAGATGGATGCTCTCACACACACACACACACACACAACTGGTGCAGTGAGCCATTTTCCAAATGGAGGCATCAAACGTACGCTTTGACTAAAAAACCATCAGCTTGCATTGAATCTCATCTGATTTGGCTTCTTTGATTTTGTTTCTTCATTAAAGAGTTAACATGAAATCAAAATTGATCCAATTTACTGTCTGAATACACATTTCTGTGGTTTTGTGTATAAAACTTTGCATAGATTTTATACACACAAGAATCCATGCAAACAGCAGATTTTGAGTATAATTAAATGGCTTCAGATTTATAAAAGCGTATGTTTGTCAGAACTTGTGAAAAGAAAGTTCACTTTTCCAGCCTCCTCGTCTTTTTGAAATAACCATATATGGAACTTATGGAGCTTTTTATTATTCATAACTTTTTTCCGTATAATTTACATATGCAGAATTTCATCCAAATACAACTGCATTTAAAGTTTGCGTGAAATAAAAATTCACCATATCTATCTTACATTCATAAATCTATATATATATCTATATCTATATGTGATCCTGGACCACAAAACCAGTCATAAGGGTACATTTTTTGAAATAGAGATTTATATATCACCCGAAAGCTGAATAAATAAGCTTTTTTTGATAATAATTGATGGATGGGTATGTTAGGATCGGACAATATTTGGCCGAGATACAACTATTTGAAAATCTGAGGGTGCAAAAAAAATCTAAATACTGAGAAAATCGCCTTTACGAAATTTACAAAATATCTTAATGGAACATGATCTTTACTTAATATCTTGATTTTTGGCATAAAAGAAAAATCAATCATTTTGACCCATACATTGTTTTTTTGGCTATTGCTAAAAATATACCCAAGCGACTTATGTGTGAAAATGATGCAACTAGACCTTCCAGTGAAAATGACAGACTTCTTTCTGGTGATGTATGTGGTTGTTTTTCTGTCATTTTGTCCATTTAAACCCTGCTCCTTTAAGATTGCGTTCATCTGCCTCCACTTTTTGAATTTGTTCACATTTTGAAATCCAATCAAAACCCGATGTATAGAACCAAGTCCTGCCCCATCATGCTTTTAGGAAGCATCCAGCATGCATGTCCATGAGGGCTGGATTTGTGATGTTTTCAACTCACGAAAACACTTCTTAACATGTTCTGCTCAGTAGTGCATTGGTGAGATTGGGTACACGGTGTGCGCTGAACTCGATGAACTTTTAGTGGAATTATCCCGTGTATAATTTCAACCCCTGACCTGCACACTGGTCTTACGTGCAGGATCCTCTAATTTAACAATTAAACAAAGTATTATTATTATGTTATACTAAAGAATCATCTAAGTCAGACAGAACAAATGAGGTTAGGCTTTGGATGCTTTGAGACACATAACAATGAATACCACACACACACACACAAAAAGAGTAATAGAATGCATGGGAAACTATATATCTTTGTTTTTATTAGCTATGATTTTGTTTTGTTCTACTCTAGAATAGTGCTTGGCCATTGAGATGCTACTAATTTAACATAGACTGTAGATTTGCCAAGCGTTTTGTAAAGGAACATCATGAAATTTACAGTAGCTAGGAGCAAGAGAAATGTTATATTTTTGCTTTGTAAGTGCTGGGAAGGGATGAGGGCAGCTGAAACTAGCTAAGAGGGTATTTACTGTATAAAAATGTCAATTTTCAAAAGTTGGGGAGTTGGGGTCTATAAGCACTGCAAGCTATTTTTATTACGTCTTTCTGTCTTAAATCTTTTTTTGTTACTGAATTGGTTTGCTGGTAAAGGTGATGTTTAAATGTCATTGAATGGCTCATAAATGAGCGCCACCTGGTGTCGGACTT